GGTTTCTGTCAAATAATCTGAGCTTAGTCTTATTGTTCCTCCTCTGTATGTGACTTCTTGTTTTTCACGAGCTGCTCTCAGGATTCTTTGTCTTTGGTTTTGGCGAGCGTGATTATGATATGCCTTGGTGATTTTCTTTTGGGATCTTTCCTTTATGGGGTTCATTGAGCTTCTTGGATGGCCAGCTTTTAAGCTGTCATGATGTTGGGGAAGTTTTCTGTCAGCAGTTCCTCAATGATCCTCTCTGTGTTTTCTGTTTTCTCCTCCTGTTCTGGAATTCCAATCACTTGCAAATTTTTTTTTGATTGTATCCCACATAACTCTCAGGTTCTCTTCATTTTTCTTTGTTCTTTTTTCTGAGCTTTCTTCAAACAGAGTTGTATCCAAGTGTTTGTCTTTGATTCCACTGATCCTGTCTTCCACCGTTTCAAATCTGCTTCTCAGCCCTTCTATGACACTGTCCATTTCTGAAATCTTTTTGTTTATCTTTTGGATTTCTAACTGTTGTGTTTGTATACTTTCTAGTTGTGAATTTATTTTGGCATTTTGTTCCTGCATTATTTTCCTGATTTCTTCCAATTTTTCGTCTGTATTTTCCATGAATTTGTCTATTTTTTCCTCATGTTTATCAGCTTCTTGCCTCAGCTCTTGGAGAAGTCTGAGTATTAGAGAATTGAATTCCCTATCAGGTAATTCTAGTGCATTTTGTTCTGCTTTAGAGTTGTCTGGTGTTTTATTTTGGATGCCTACTGGAACCATCCTGTCCTATTTTTGTAAATGTTTTGATATTGTCTGCTGTCTTCGGGGCATTCAGTAGTTATTTTTCTCGTTTACTGATTCTAGATTTGTTTGTTTCATCCCCTTTTCTTTTTAAAATCTGACTATGTCTGAGCAGGCAAACCTTGTGTTCTTTGTTGTTTGCTTGTCTGTGGGCATAGTACTTTTCACCTTATTCTCCAATTGGCAGGGTTAGTCACTCAGATATGGTATGGCAGGGCAGGTCTAGCTGAAGAGGAGTTACTGGGATGGGTTATTTGTGGCACTTACTACAGCCACCAGAGTGGGTCAGTAATCAGTGCAGGGCAGGTTCCTGTAGGCCATGCCTGTGCTGCTTGGTGGTATGATGTCAAGCGCATGGTGCAGGTAGGCAGGATGCAGCGGCGAGATTGTTATGTGTGGAGCTAAGATGGATATGGGAGAGAGGAGAGAGGAACAGGAGCCAAAAACATATAAACAAACAAAAAAGAATGCTAGGGGAGCTTGCCATTGGAGTGGAGAGATGAGAGACTATGAAATGGAGAAAAACAGAAAGAGGAAGAGCAAGAAAAGAATGAATAAATAAAAATCGGAAAGGTTAAAAAACTGCAAATTTCCCAGGGATCTCACCGGTGCAGCTATGAGGTCTGGGGAAGTCGCTCTCAGGTGTTGCAGTACAGCCTGGCTAGAAGGTGTAGAGGTATACAACACCAGGTATTCAGGGAACAGAAGGAGAAGGAAGATATAGAGAGACGAGAAACCAAGCAATGAAGAAAGATGAAAAGGGAAGAAGAGGGAAAAGAAAACAAAACCAATTAAAAAAAAAAAAGAACAAGAAAGGCCCCCAAAAGAACAGAAAAAAAAAACCAACGAAAAAAGAAATGTCCTCAGGAATCCCTCTGCATGTGTGTACAAGCCGGGGGGAAGTCTCCTTGCCACGCAGCACCGCCTGGCCAGAAAGGGATCCCAACTCAAGAAAAGGAAAAGAAAACAAACAAACAATTCAAAAGAAACAAACAATTCAAAAGAAACAAACAAACAAAAGCCCCGGGATCCCACCAGCACGGCAGCCCAGACTGAGAAGCAGCTCCACACTCGAACAGAGCTCCACAACCCCTCAGGAAGAAGCAAAGATGGTGCATGGAGCCAGGTATTTGAGCGAAAGAAGGGGGAGGTGGTGAGAGGTAAGGAAGAAATGAAAAGAAGCAGAAAAAAAAGCAACACTAGCAGCGAACAAATGGCACTCAGAGAGCCAGCTAGTGCGGGCTGGTGTTTCTTGGACAAGAGACTGTGTCCGCGGGAAGCAGAGGGGGTCGAGTGTGGGTGAAGAAGGGTAGGGGGTGGGAAAGCGTATATCACAAATTACCAGAGCTCTGCAGCCCCTCAGGAAGAGGCAAAGATGGCGCACGGAGCCAGGTATTTCAGCGAAAGGAGGGGGAGGTGGTGAGAGGTAAGGAAGAAATCAAAAGAAGTGGAAAAAAGCAACACCAGCAGCCAACAAATGGCACTCAGAGAGCCGGCCCGTTCTGGTGTGTGGAATCCAAGCAGCCGGTGTTTCCCCGTCAAGAGATTGTGGCTGTGGGAAGCAGAGGAGGCCAAGTCGGGATGAAGAAGGGTGGGGGGTGGGAAAGCATATATCGCAAATTACCGGTTGTTTTGTCTCCCACTGGATGCTCTGTGAGGCTGCTTTCTCGTACCCCGTTTGCTGGTCTCTGATAGGAGTCCAAGATGGCGGATCCATGCTGCGTTAGCTGGTGGGGGGCCTCTGCATGAATCTCTCCTCACTCTCTGTTCTCTGTCAGTTTTCTCACTCCATTTGGTGCTTGGCTGAGTTCTTTATCTCTTCATTTGATGTTTTAGCGTTTCAGGATTGTTGTGTTCTCTGTTTGGCTTAGTGTTTTGGATCTTTGCTGTGGAGGGATGGTGTGGTGCTTCTGCCTAGAGCGCCATTTTGCCGGAACTCCTGGAACTCTTTTTATTTATACTATATGTCTATTATTCTATTTATACTATATGTTTCCGATTATTACAATTCTTTATGCTTTATTCATCACAGTTTCTTTTCTCCAATCTCCTGTAATTCTCCCTTTACTCATGTGTAATCTGCCACTGAGATTTTAGTTTTTGATACTGTGCATTGAGTTCCAGAATTTCTAGTTGTTTGTCAAATCTTCAGTGATACTTTTTATAGTTTTCAGTTTTTTGCTGAAATGTTTCAGTTCAGCTTTCGATTTCCATGTGTACACTACAGATAATTATTTAAACCCTATATCTCATCATTCTGCTATCTGGAGTGCCTGTGAGTTCATTCGTATTATCTTTTATTGTGCTGTATCTGGTTCATATTGTCTTGTCTCTTCATGTGCCTGTTTATATTTGTGTGTCAGTTATTGCATTTGAAAATTATTGAAAGAAGTAATTCGAGGCCTAGGATTTTGATTTTGTTTGTTTGTGCCAAAAATTTGAAAACATTAATGATATGAAATCACCTTAATCCAATTTCAAGGCTCTGGATTTTTCTCAGTTACAGACATGACTTGAACCAGAGCTGAATGCCATGTTAAGGGTGATTTGATCCTGGTCCATCCTTATTCCTAGGGTGCACAACTTTGAGATCTCAACACTAAGTTCAAGTTTATGACCCTTGCCAGACTCTGTAGTCCTAGTTTGTCCCTCTTTTGCTTCATGAGGCTGTGAAATGGGCTTCTCAACCTTTCAGCCACATCTTCAGCTTCGCAAATGTATCATTGACAAAAGTGACCTAAAAGTCATGGTCATTTTTCTAGGTTTTCGTATTTTTCTTGCTCTTGGTCCAATAGTTCCTCACTATCTTATTAACTTTGTAAAGCTTTTAATATTTGTTCCATATTTTCAGTTGTCTTTAGCACAAGGGTCATTACAAATTACTCAGTCTGCCATTACTGGAAGTAGATGCCACTAATATTCTAATTTATCTGTGTATTTCCTTTATAAGTACCGTAAGAGCAGGTATTGCTTTTATATATATATATATATATATATATATTCAGCTACAATAGAAAAATCTTAAGACTTAAATTTATTTGACCAATAAATGCAGTCAAAATCTTTAGATGTTATCACTGAAGAATGTATAAAAGTCTTGATCTTTTTCACTTTACCTAAATCTTTTTCAGAAACATATGTTTAAAGGGAAATTGCTTAAAAAGACACAATATAATCTCCAAATGAAAGAGAAATAAAATGGATTGTAAAAACCCTTACAGTCCAGTTGATTTTTTTTTACTTTAATGTTCATATTGTTAAGGTAATTATTAATATAATTATGAATATAAGCAATAAAGTTATCATTTCTCTCTGTTCCAACTCCAAATCCTTAAAGAAATCAATAACAGCTTTGTCTCTTTGTATAACCAAAGTCCAAGAAGACATTTAAAACAGAGGAAATAGTACATTTTAGATTGATTAATAACACAAACTTAGACATGTTTACTTCGTAAATATTCAGATTATACTGTTAAATTTTCCACTGAAGAGGATATGGAATTAGAATAGAACTATTAAAACTGATATTCCAGGATAAATGTGTCTTTTTAACGATATAAATGTTATTTTTCTTTAGATTTAGATTACAATATATCATTTTCATTTTCAAACTGTTTTAAGTATCTCAAAGGTTTTCTTGTGTCTGTGTTGCAGAATTCATTGGCATATTGATGCACAAAATAATTAGCAGCATAAATAGAAACTTTAAATTTATATAGCCATATACATTACATTCCTTTCATTATTGTTAACCTAAATATCAGATAAATAGGTTAAGAATAATTATTAACTAGAAAAAATCCCGATTTAACGCAAATGTTACCAGTCGACGTCTGTACGTTGTTCACAGTACATAATCCGAAAGTATTGAGCATAGCCGCTGCAATTCTAATGGCCAAGAAAGTTATTAATTACCTATTGAAATTGCCCAAACTATAGCAATCTTCATGATGGCCTTAGTCCGCGAATTGAAACGGCTATGCTCAATAGGATTACGTATTGCTACATACCGATCCAGCGATATAGCGCAGAGGTGCATGATGGACGCTGTTGAAAATAAAACATCTAAAGCAATCCAGACGGGGCACAAATATCTTGGTAGTGGCCAGACATAATCTGAAAGAGAACAGAAAGAAGACAAGAAAACATACAAATTATATAGAGTATAATTTTAAATTTTAGTTGAATTATTTTTTCCTCTCGTAATGAAAACCTTTGGAAGAAAGTGAAATTTGGAAGAAATTATTTTCCATAGTAATGATGTTGATGATAATGGTGATGCTTTCAGTATTACATGAATTATTTTTTATTGAGGTAAAATTCACAGAACATGGAATTATCCATTCTGAAGTGTACAATTCAGTGGCATTTAGTACATTCACAATATTGTGCAGTCATCACCTATCTCTATTTTCAAAATATTTTCATCACCCCATAAGAAAACCACTTGCCCATTAAACATACCCATTCTCCCTCCTCCCAGCCCCTGGCAACCACTAGTTTGCTTTCTGTCTTACAGATTTGCATATTATGGCTATTTTACATAAATGGAATCGTACAATATGTGACATTTTGTGTCTGGATTCCTTCACTTACCATGTTTTTAAGATTCATCAGTGTTATAACATGCATGAGTACTTCATTCCTTTTCATGACTGAAGAATATGCCATTGTATGGATATAACACATTTTGTTTATCCGTTCATCAGTTAATGGACTTTGGGTTGTTTACACCTTTTGAGTACTGTGAAAAATGCTGCTATAAACGCTCGTGTACACATTTCTATTTTAGTAACTGTTTTCAAGTTTGGGAATATATCCCATTGCCATTGAGTTGATTCCGACTTATAGCAACCCTATAGGACAGAGTAGAACTGCCCCATAGTGTTTCCAAGGCTGTAAATCTTTAGGGAAGGAGACAGCCGCATTTTTCCTCTTTAGAGCGGCTGGTGGGTTGCAACCGCCGACCTTCTGGTTAGCAGCCAAGTGCTTAACCATTGTGCTACCAGGGCTTATTTGGAGGTATATACATAGGAGTAAATTGCTGTATTATATAGTGATTCTATGTCTAATTTTTTGAGGAACTGCCAAACTGTTTTCTGCAGTGGTTAGACCATTTTACATTCTCACAAGTAATGCATCAGGGTTCCAATCTCTCCACGTCCACTACAACACTTGTTATTTTCTGTTTGTTTTTTTAAATAGCCATCTTAGTGAGTGTGAAGTAGTATCTCATTGTGATTTTGATTTGAGTTTCCTAAATGACAAATGATGTTAAGCATCATTTCATGTGCTTATTGGTCATTTGTATATTTTCTTTGGGAACATGTCAATTCAAGTCCTTCGTCCATTTTTAAATTGGGTTGCTTGTCGTTTTGCGGTTGAGTTGTAAGAGTTCTTCATATATACTGGATATTAAATCCTTATCAGATATATGGTTTCCAAATAATTTCCCCCATTCTATAGGTTGTCTTTTCACTTTGATAGTGTTGTTTAATGCACAAAGTTTTTAACTGTGCTAATGTCCACACTTATATATTTTTTCTTTTTTTTGTCATGCTTTTGATGTCAAATCTAAGAATCCATTGCCACATTCAAGTTCATGAAGCTTTATGCTTCTGTTTTCTTCTAAAAGTTCTATGGTTTTAGCTTTTATATTAGCTTGTTGATTCACTTAGTTAATTTTCCTATATGGTGTGAGGTAGGCGACCAATTTCATTCTTTTCCAAGTGGAAATCCAGTTGCCTCAGTAACATTTCTTGAAGAAACTATTCTTTTCCCATTGAATGAACTTGATACCCTTATTGAAAATCATTTGTCTGTAGATATATAGGTTTATTTCTGGACTCTCAATTCTATTCCATTGGTCTATATGTCTATCCTTATTCTAATATCAGACTGTTTTGATTACTGTAGCTTTATAGTAAGTTTTGAAATTGGAAAGATTGAGTCTTCCAACTTTGTTCTTCTTTCTCAAGATTGTCTTGGCTATTTAGAGCCCATTGCAATTCTATATGATTGGCTTTTCCACTTCTGCAAAAAAGGCTCTTGGAATTTTGATAGGGATTTTATTGACTCTGTAGATTGCTTTTGGTAGTACTGACATTTTAACAATATTACGTCTTCCAATGATTAACATGTAATGTCTTTCCATTTATTTAGGTCTTTAATTTCTTTCAACAGTGGTTTATAGTTTTCACTGTTACAAGCCTTTCACCTTCTTGGTTAAATTTATTCCTACGTATTTTATTCTTTTAGATGTTATTTTAAATGGAATTGCTTTTTAAACTTCCTTTTCAGATTGTTCATTGCTGGTGTATAGAAACACAACTGAGTTTTGTATGTTGATCTTATACCCTTCAACTTGGTTGAATTTATTTATTAATTCTACTAGCTTTCTTGTGGATTCTATGGGATTTTCTACATACTATGTGTGAATAGAGATAGTTTTACTTCTTTCTGTGCAATTTTGTAACCTTTTAATTTATTTTCTTGTCTAATTTCTCTGGTTAGAATTTCAAGTATAATAATGAATAACAGTGGTGAAAGCGGGCATCCTTTTCTTGTTCCTGATCTTAGAGAGAAAGATTTCAGTATTTCTCCGTTGAGTATGTTGTTAGCTGTGAGTTTTTCATAAACACCCTTTATTATGTTGAGGAATTTCTCCTATATTCCTAGTTTGCTTAGTGTCTTTATCATGAAAAGGTGTTGGATTTTATCAAATCCAGCAAGAGATGAGCATGTGGTTCTTTTCCTTCACTCTATTAATGTGGTATATTACATTTGTTGATTTCCATACTGAACAAATCTTGCATTCCTGGGATAAATAATACTTGGTCATAGTATATGTTGTTTTAATATGCTGTTGGATTAAATTTGCTAGTTATTTTGTTGAGAATTTTTCTTTACATATATATTCATAAGGGCTGTTGGTCTATAGATTTCTCTTCTTGTGGTATCTTTACCTGGCTTTGGTATCATGGTAATGCTGCCTTTTAGAATGAATTAGGAAGTGTTCCCTCCTCTTCTGTTTTTCTTTGAAAGAGCTTAAGAAGGATTTGTGTCAATTCTTTAAATGTTTGGTTAAAATCCTGAGAGACGCTGTCTAGTCTGTGACTTTATTTTGTTGGGATGTTTTGATTACTGATTTAATCTTTTGTTATGTGTCTGTTGAGATTTTCTATTTTTTCTAGATTCAGTTGAGGTCTCTGTTTCTTGAATTTTTTCTAGGTTATATAATTTCATTTCTGGTTTTAGTTATTTGCATCTTCTCCCATTTTTTCTTTGTCAATCTAGCTTTGTCACTGCTATCAATTACTCTTATTGATCTTTAAAAAAAACTTCTTTTTGTTGATTCTCCCTGTTGTTTTTCTATTCTCCGTTTTACTTATCTCTGCTGTGATGTAGGCATTTACTACTATAAAGTTCCCTCTGAGCACTGACTTTGCTGCATGCCATAAGTTTTTGTATATTGTGATTTCATTTTTATTCATCCCTAAGTATTTTTCAATTTCCACTTTGATTTCTTTTTGATTCATTGGTTGCTTAATAACGTGTTGTTTCATTTCTACTTCTGTAATTTCAAGTTTTCTTCTGTTGTTTATATCTAGTTTCATTACGTAATGGTCAGAAAGGTTCTATATATGAGTTCAATCTTTTTAAATTTATTGAGACTTGTTTTGTGACTTAGCATATAGTCTATCCTGGAGAATGATCCATGTGCACTGAAGAATGTCTATTGTGTTGTTGTTGGGTGATGTGATCTATATATATCTGTTAGGTCTAAATGGTTTATGTTGTTGTTGTTGTTAGGTGCTGTTGAGTCAGTGCTGACTCAGAGCAACCCTACGTACAACAGGATGAAACACTGCCTCGTACTGTGCCATTCTCACAATCATTGCTATATTTGAGCCAATTGTTGCAGCCACTGTGTCAGTCTATCTTGTTGCGGGTCTTCCTCTTTTTTGTGAACTTCCGCTTTCCCAAACACGATGCCCTTCTTCAGGGACAGGTCCCTCCTGATAACATGTCCTATGTATGTGAGATGAAGTCTCGCCATCCTCACTTCTAGGAACGCTCTGGATGTACTTCTTTCCAGACAGATTTGTTTGTTCTTCTGGCAGTCCATTGAAATTTCATTGAAATGAAACACATAAAGATCAATATCTTAGGCATTAGTGAACTGAAATGTACTGGTATTAGCCATTTTAAATCAAACAATCATACAGTCTACTATGCAGGGAATGAAGTACAATGCTCTTAGTAATAGGATAATATCCATACGCCTACAAGGAAGACCAGTTAAAACGACAATTATTCAAATTTACCCACAAAGAAATTGAAGATTTTTACCAACTTCTGCAGTCTGAAGCTGATCAAATATGCAATCAAGATGCATAGATAATTACTGGCAATTGGAACGAGAAAATCTAAAACAAGGAAGGATTGGTAGTTGGAAAACATGGCCTTGGTGGTAGAAATGACGCTGGAGATTGCATGATAACATTTTGTAACACTAATGACTTCTTCGTTGCAAATACCTTTTTTCAACAACATAAGTGGTGACTCTACAAGTAGACCTCACAGGGTGGAATACACAGGAATCAAATAGACTACATCTGTGGAAAGAGATGATGGAAAAGCTCAATATCGTCAGTCAGAACAAGGCTGGTGGCCAACTGTGGAAGAGATCATCAGTGCTCATATGCAAGTTCAAGGTGAAGTTGAAGGAAATTAGAACAAGTCCATGAGAGCCTAAGTACGACCTTGAGTACATCCCACCTTAATTTAGAGAACATTTCAAGAACAGATTTGACACACTGGAAACTAACTACCAAAGACCAAATGAGTTGTGGAATGACATCAAGGAAGTTATAAATGAAGAAAGCAAGAGGTCATTAAAAACACAGGAAAGAAATAAAAAATCAAAATGGATGTCAGAAGAAACTCTGAAAGTTGCTGTTGAACATAAAGTGCTAAAGTGAAAGGAAGAAATGACGAAGTAAAAGAGCTGAACAGAAGGTTTCCAAGGGTGGCTCGTGCAAAGACCTGTGCAAAGACCTGGAGATAGAAAACCAAAAGGGAAGAACATGCTTGGCATTTCTTAAGCTGAAAAA